TTTTCTTGCAACTAAAACCATGCTTCTTTCCTTTGCCGGCGCTGTCATTGAGATTTCGAAGGAGGGTCTGAACTTCTTCTACATTTTGAGATTTATAAGGGACATTTTTGTGTTCAGCCATGGCGACAGAATATTTTGGTAGATATGTTAGAGCGGGGTGGTTTGAAAGATTTAAAAACTTTGATGTAGTAGTAGTAAATTGGGAAGTTGAATGATCTTTGAGGAAAATTGAAAGAAGTCTTGGATATAGAAGTTTGTGGGCGAACAGCATCCAAGAGAGACTCTTGACTTTTTATCAACACCAAGCAACCACACGGGATCCGTAACCTTATGATGTTCCTTCCTGATCCAGCAAAGAGTCACACCGGGGAAATGGATAGATACTGGGTAGTTTAAATGAAGCTCAAGATATTAAAATCTTGAGAAAAGTAGGAGGCAGAGTGCAAGGCAGGGCAGGGACTATGGATACCCAGGTCAATACCCAAAGAAGAAAAAGGACAGGCGAATCCCTTTGATCATTGGATAATTCTTAGATTGTCTGGGTACGAGTAGGGCTGAGCATTAAAAAAATAGGTGACGGGTATGAGCGCTTAGTGGGGTTCTTGGGCTCGGTCATCGGGACATGCGGCCGCTGCACTGTAGAAAATCCTCGGAGGCCCTCCTACGTTAGCCACAAACAGAATAATTTTTGGAAGAGACGCATTGTGTATATTGAAATTTCCACTTTACGGTGAAGACAATAACACAACATTGACTCATACTCGAATATACGATGGCTCCCGCTCAACCCAATCCTTTCCTTCTAGCCGCCGACAATTCTCCAGATCTCCTGCCCCTCCTTCGATCGAACCCCGCCTTAGCTTCTGCTCAAGATGAACACGGATATTCGTTAATGCACGCTGCTGCATCTTACAGTCATTTAGACCTTCTGCGAGCACTTGTCACCGAGTTTGATGTCAACGTCGATTTGAAAGACGAGGATGGAGAGACCGCATTGTTTGTGGCCGAAACACTAGACTGCGCAAAGCTATTGGTTGAGGAATTACATGCCAACTTTACAATTAGAAGTGCTGAGGATGGGTGCAATGCAAGGGAGAGAATCGAGGCAGAGGGCGACTATCCAGAAGTCGCCGTGTATCTCCGAATCAAGGAACTTGAAGCCGAGGGAGGCCTTCCAGCATCAAGTGGTACAGATGCTATAGTGGCCCACCCACCACTAGTACCCGAAGGACTGTCGGTCAACATTGGTACCATGAATCCAGAAGAAGATGTAGGAGAGGTCATTGATCCCGAGTTTAAGAGACGTATTGATGAACTGGCTGCTCGAGATGATTTCCAAACACCTGCGGGACAAGAGGAATTACGAAAGCTCATTACGGAGGCAATTACAGGCGAAGTAGGAGAACGACGAGAAGTGCGTCGACGAACAGAATGATTTCCCATCTATTCTACTTCCCACAAAACATAATCGTTAGGGACATCAGGCAACTTCAAAACCGTACAGTTCTTGCTCTCGCCATTCCAGCTATCGCTAAACCCGCCAACATAATACGAAAACCAAGCATCTTTCGGCGCGGCGAGTAGAGCTTGGATAAAAGTATCATGTGCCCATGCAGGGGAAATAAATCCAGTCCATGTGACTTTCACCAACTCCTCCGCTTCATCTGTACCTATCGGGGGTTCGTAACGGGACAGAAAGGGGTCGATGTTGTCCGTTGAATTGACTCGTGGACTTTCTAGCGAAATTAATGAAAGCCATTCATGAACTTCGGCGGCAAATTCGCGAAAGTCCTCGTCATAGTTTCTATTGTTCTCTACTGGAGGTTTGAATTTAGGTCTCTTGACTTGATAGTCACTCGATACTTTTGGAATGCATGTTATCTTATTTGGATGATGTGGAGATAATGGGTCAGATGGTAATACTGGCGAAGAGGTTAGTATTGCAGCAAGAGGTGTATATAGATTCCCACCTGTAGCGCCTAGATCACAGAAAAGCCACGTCACAGGAGTAGTCAATACATTCTTGAATGCATATTCAATCCTTCGAAAACCCTTCTTGCCATGTAACATTGATGGTAATCGCAAATTTATCTCAACAACTATGAATTGATTAGCGAATCCATTTTCCCAGCCAAAAAATTACATACTCCACCGAGGGCGATGTTCTCGTTTCCCCTTAATTCCCTCCGGTTTGCCTACCAAACCTGATCTTTCATAAGTTTCCTTATCCAAATGCAAGGTTAAAATTCCTATGACAACGTCAGTAGGTTCTGCACAGTAGAACGTCCAAAATTTGAGACCCTACCCTCGCTCAAGGAAAACACATTATCCACCTCCATCATTCCCTTCGAAAGCATCATAACATTCCCTAGAACCCCGTAAGCAAAACGTAACCTCTCCATTCCCTCACGTGCCTCACCTTTCTTGATATACTCCGTAAAAAACTCTCCCTCCAACAATGCACTCAATGGAAGCACAACCCGACTATAACCCGGACCGTTGTCCCCCAAAACTCCATCCATCCCGTTCTTCATAAAATCATATAATTCCTTGGGTAATATCATCTCAACCTTGTTGATAAATTTATGACCCAAGATATTCACAAATGGTTTCCGTTTTACCGGAGGTTGTTTGGGATCGAGATGACCCATGGTCCCATGCGTCACGTAGCATTTCTGCTCGTGTTTTGTATCTTTTGGGAAGCTCAACATTTTCGATGTGTGTGAAGGCTTGGTTGGAAGAGGTAGATGGATGGCGCACTTTTGAGGATTTATTTTGATACAGCGATTTTGGGTTTAGCGTGGATGGCATGGGCTCGAATGCGCTAATGTTAACCCTGGTAAGGATTTTTGGAGGGGTATTTTTTCGCGGGAGTCATGGTGAAAAATATTGTGAATGCATTATTGAAGATTACATACAGGCATTGTGAGCCGATTTTAATTCAAGGCTTGATCAGAGACTTTTGTCTGTAATTCTCTCAAAGACAATCTTTCCAATTCACGAGACTCCGAAATTTTGACGCCGATTTGTTTGTTCGTGCTTGCCTGAGACTTTCCACACCAGTGTAGTGGTTTGCAGGAGCGAGACGAGAAGAGATTCTACTCGAACACCTGGTTCTGTTGGAGGATTAGACATCATCAAAAGATCAAAATGAAGTGTCTAATAAGATTCACACAAACGCACGAGACGTTTCGTCTTGCCGAGATCCAGGCGTTAGCAGAGCTCGAGAATATTCCTTTACAGGTTGAACACTATGTTTCGAATGTAAGTGAAATCTATGATCAAAATCTCATCATTGTCGTCAGTTCTAAGTGATTGATAGTCACCCTTTTGTTTCGTAGACGTCCCGTCTGCAGAAGCCGCTGCTCGATTGGTTAAGAGAAGCATTCTCTCGAAAGCCATCTACGAAGTTTGGGGCACGGGTTCTACGTATGAAATTCTTCATGATGATGTAAAGACTTCTACAAAAGATCTATGGTCGCTTTACAAAACCTGCTCTTTCAAATTTACCGTGGATTGTTTTCAAAATACAAGACCTACCACCGAACAGCGAGCACTCATTAATGAATTCCGATATTTGGAGTTCGAGGGTCCTATCAAAATGAAAGGAGCAGATGAAGAGTTCTGTATCTTGGAAGAATGGCAACTTGATGCTGCTGCCAATGGTATCACAACACCTTCCCAAGTAACCTTTGGTCGATTTCTCGGCGCTAGCGAAAGAGATATTGTAGGAAAATACGATCTCAAAAAGAGAAAGTATATCAGTACCACCTCTATGGATTCCGAGCTCGCATTAGTTACGGCCAACATCACATTAGCAGCCCCAGCAAAATTATTCTACGATCCATTTGTCGGAACGGGTAGTTTCCCAGTTGCATGTGCACATTTTGGCGCGCTTGCGTTCGGGAGCGATATTGACGGGCGAAGTATCCGAGGAAAGGAAACGCGAAATTTACATTCGAATTTTGTACAATACGGTCTCACGAATCAGTTTGGGGACACTTTCGTGGCCGATCTCACAAATACTCCATTGAGATGCGCGAGATTGTTCGATGGGATATTGTGTGATCCGCCCTATGGTGTAAGAGAAGGCTTAAAAGTACTTGGGAATAGGGACCCGACTAAACCTAAAGTCCCTATTATGTTAGAAGGCGAAACCCAACCTCATCACTTGTATAGATAACTTTCTTTACGATCATTCTCCCAGAACAATGCTAACCAGAATGCCAGACAAGACGCCTACATCCCACCCAAGAAACCATATTCTTTCCTCGCCATGCTAGACGATATTCTTGATTTCGCAGCCATCTCTCTCGTAGATAATGGTCGTCTATCCTTCTGGATGCCAACTGCAAATGACGAAGATCAAGAAATCAAAATCCCCACACATCCTTGTTTACAGATTACAAGTGTGTGCACACAAGCTTTTAATAAATGTAAGTCATTCTCATGCAGGTAGTCAGTAGCGGATTGTTAATACAGAAATAGGGTCAAGAAGACTTATTACATATAAGAGAATACCGGATTCCATGGTAGATCCTGAACAAATCCGCGAGAGGACAGCTAATGGGTCGGGTGTTACTGCTGATGAATTGAATCCGTTTCGAAAAGGATATTTCCAGGGATTCAAATCAGCATTTAGGGATACACCGAAATAAGAACAAGGAATGATTACATGCTCATTGGGTACCCTTTCATGTGTGATTTATCAGTTCTCAAGTCTCTTGTGAATCTTTTGATGTGTGACTATGCTTTGAGAATCGGTTTGACAATCGGTTCATGATTTACGCACTTTTATTCACGAGCAGATTCCCAAATACAATGACATTCAATGTGATGCTCCAGTCTAGAATATAATAGAAGACAAATGAAGACACATTAAAAGATAGCCGACTCATACCAGTTGCTAAACACGACATCAAATCATATCCACATCCAATTCCACCATTCTTCTCATCCCCATCTCCATCTCCCCCTCCTCTCAAGCCCCCCCTTTCACCCTACAAAACCCACACCAACCCCACCGCCCCCATCACCATCCCACCCAACAGCCCCGTAACCTGCGCCGCACCAGCCTTACTCGAGCTCTCAATCGGGCTCGGAGTGCCCCCACCATTCTTCCCCGTCTCCGTCGTCTTCGCGCTCGTCTCGGTAGTTTTCGCTTCCGTTTCCGTCTCCGTGGTAGCCGATGCACTTAATTTTTTCGTCGTCACCGTACTATTCCCGCTCGCGATCGTCAGGCCTCCTGAGCCCGTGATTGGGACGAGGGTGGCGGTCGTCCCGTTGATGATGCCGGTGAGGAAACCGGTGATGCTTGGGGCTGCGGGGGCGGAGGTGGTAGCGGATGCGGATGCGCTGGATAGGAGGGCTTCGAGAGAGTAGATGCTGGCTTTTGCGGGGCCGGCGTTGATGATATAGGTTTGAGCGGCGGGGGAGAGAGAAGTATACCAAGCGGGGAGGGAACTGAGGAATTCTTGTTCGAGTTGTGCGAAGCCCGAGGGAGAAGATTGCAGAGCGAGGACGGATGTGGGGATGCTGGTTAGTTGGGCGGCGAGGGATGGGTCGGGGATGAGGGCGGAGGAGAGAGAGGAGATGCTGGAGGCTATGGCGGAGCTATGGGGTGAGGGGGATTTAGTTATTTGGTGCTATAATGGGGCGTGAAGGGGAATGTGGAGAAAGAGCAATTGAGAGAGTAAAGGAGATCAGAAAACATACGCATCAACATCCTGTCGTCTATCCAACTGCGGGCTGCCAAGCACCACAGCGCAAAGACTAGCCGTCGTCAAAAGATTGATATACATAATGCAGTTACTGAACGAACGCGACCGCTATATCTATCGAAAGTACAAAAAGAATTCTTGGAAACTTTTCGTGTTCGCAAGTGAAAAGTAGATCCTTCAGAAAAGAAGAGAAGAGAAGGATAGAAATAACACGAAAACATATCAAAACAAACCCCTCAATCTCCACATTCGGGACATTGGTACAAGCCCCTGATAGTAAACACGAACTGTGTATCACTCCTCAACACTGTGTATTACCCAATTGCGGAAATGGAAATGTCTTGTTTGGTCTTTCTTATGTTGTGATACCTTCTTTGACCAATTGTTGCTTGGGGCGAAAAGGAATATGTAGTGATGGTTTGAAGTTTCATGCAGATCTACAGGTACGGGTCGGATGAGTGAATTACTGCTTGGAGAGAAAATAAAGAGCGTTCAATGTGGTGTGTTTATTTTGCTTCAAAGCTCGGGAGTTGGGACACAACTTTGTGTTATATTGATGAATATCTGCATGAAGGGATGTATGAGAAAACATCTTCTACCACTTATTTTCAAATCTGACATGGTGTGAAACATGGGCGTTGTGGCTGATATATTGATTTTTCTAAATCCAGCCATGTATATTCCCGAGGCAACGATGTAGTACGGGAAGTAGGAAACTTATGAGCCGTTGATGAAAAGTGAAATTACTATAATGCGTGTGGTATCTTTCTCCCTTAGTTCTTCTTTCCATCTAAATCTGAATAGAAGTTGTATCCGAATCCTTTGCTAGCATCATTGAATCTCAACTTTTTATCCAAACCATCCAACTTCTTCAAGTCTTCAGCATCAAGTTTGAAGTCTCCCTCCAAGTTAGACTTGATGCGTGAAGGTGTCTTGGATTTGGGGATAACCGAGTGACCATGTGCAATACCCCAAGCTAAAGCTACTTGTGCTCCAGACTTATTATATTTTTTGCCGATGTCAACGATAGTTGGATCATCCTGAAAACATGTTAGTAAAGCGTGGAACAATTTGAATCGAATCAATCTTACCATCAACTTGCCAATACCCTTCCCGGCATCATAAATTTCATTTTGATTTCCAAATGGAGAATATTGTGTGATGTGAATACCTTTGCTCTTGTTGAACTCACAAAATTCGGTTTGTTGCAACCATGGATGAAGCTCCAATTGATGGGCCGCAGGAACCACAGAAGTCTCCCTCAACAAACGTTCCAACTCTCCTCTTGAAAAATTAGAGATTCCAATAGCCTTGGTCTTTCCAGTATCAATGAGCTTTTCCATAGCCTTGTATGTATCAACGTAGGAAATATCTGCTGTTTGCATCTTTCCATCCACCTTTGGCATTAATTCATCGCCTGGCTTGAATGCAGATGGCCAATGCATCAAGAATAAATCCACATAATCCAAATCCAAATCTTTTAACGAAGCATCAAGAGCCGCTTCGACGTCTTCTGGCTTATGCTTGTTGTTCCATAATTTAGTGGTAATGAAGAGTTCGGAACGAGGAACGCCAGATTTCTTGATTGCAGCTCCGCATGCTGGTTCAGTACCGTAAACTCTAGCCTAGAAGAGACGTTGGGTTAGCATATTATCCATGGATTGGTAATGAAATCTTAAGATGATGATACGTACAGTATCGATATGTCTATATCCCGCCTTCAATGCCTCTGTAACTGCACCCTCTTGAGAATCCTTATCCTGCCAAGTACCAAACCCAATGGCAGGAATGGTAGCTCCAGTGTTAAGCTTGTGGGAAGTAATTGAGGCCATGGTTCGTCTTTGAAGTTGTGAAGAAAGTTGTGATAGTCGTGCTGAAGATCTGAATGATGATTGAAGAGTTCGGGCGAACATTATTGATACGAAAGGAGAATATTAAATAGAAATTCACCTACACGTCTATATCTCCTTGAGATCACCTACCTCATTATTCATCTCTTTGCCGCCACCAAAATTGTGACGTAGATGTTTACTCAATTGTAGAGATGATTAATGGGATACCACTGTCGATCCTATGACGTTTTGGCTTTTGTCGGAGGTCCTCAACTGCGGAAGGTGGTATTCAAGATGCCTGCGGAGTGCTGGGTGTGCATAAAAGCCCTTTGTGATTCCCCGCTCTTGAAGAAAGGTCCGAATTCGGCACGGATTAATAATTTTGCGAATGAAGCTCGAAGGGTTTCAGACTTCAGTCTTCACGTGACCAAGGGAAGAAGAACTGACTGGGGACCAATTGATATAGCTAGGTATTCGAAATACCAGGCTCACCAGAAAGAGAAGTCAGGAGCTCAGTAGAAGCCATTGGAATAAGACAAAACTCCACGGGAAAACGATTGAAAGTAGGTGATTAACCTTATCAAATAACTTGCTAACTCATCCTTATCGTCAAACCACGAGAAATCAAAAGGGGCTCGAGGGGTTCCCAGAGAATTAGCCATCTGCAATATGAGTAATCGAACAGGAACTTTCAATAACTTCACCATGAACTACAATGGTTGAAGTTATTCTTGTGTAAGATTGATGAATGTTGCAAACCGAGAAACAAACAGACACAAGAGTGACAAGACGCACCACAAAAAAAGAATCTGGAAATATTCGAACACCTCAAAGACATTCAACTCCTCTCCTCTCCTCTCTCTCCCATGGCCATTACCTGCTACCGGTATTGCACTCATTGTATATATCACTCCATTGATAGACCAAATATACCAACGGCGCCTAATGTATGTTACCGGTAGATACATCATTTCTAAAATCAGACGCCGAGCTAAATATATAACTCGGACTCCTTGTCGTCATCACCACGTTTCACTAGCTACCATTCATCTCCATCTTCAACGAACCCAACCTCAAATCTCGTGTCCCGCACCAAGCTCACGACGTGATCTTCAAGATTTCCACTGATATTCATCCATCAGTGTTTCATCATCGTCCGATGGTCCATCGCGCTTCTAAATAAGATTTAGACTTCGCAAGACTCGAGAGTCGAGAACAAGGAAAGGTATTTCGGTATCACCATTACAAGTGTAAAACGTCAAAGCTCATTACCGACTCCCGAGTATTCCTCTCTCTCTCTCTCTCACACACACACAAAATATCGGATCTGTATATCCTGAGCCATGAATCATATCTTCCCATTGGAAGCTTATTTCTTTCATCTTTCCTTTTTCATACCAAAATAAAATATGAAGGCCTCGATCATCATGAATATCTTCTTGCACTGCCTGCCGCGGTTGTTTCGAGTTCAATGCTTGGATCTTTTTATACGAGACTTTTGAAAGCTTGGTGTGAGATGTCAGAAAGGTATTTTATATAAGTAGGAAATTCTTTGGTTTAATGTTTCCTTCGTCTCTGTTATCTTTCTTCCATTGGTCAATTGTTACTCTCGTTGAAACGTGACCTATACATTCGTTTTTCTCTCTTTCTATCTATCGTTATATCACCTATTTACCATAATTTTTGAAAAGGATTCAAAATAAGGGTCAATCAAATTATTCCTCAAACACGAACTCCAAATGCATCCCGTTCAAATCACTTTGGCCATTCTCCTTGGCCTCATATCCACCACCTCAGCTCGCTTCTCCAAAGCTCTCATCTTCCCCCGAGCAATATCCCCAAATAACACCTGTGGATTCAATGGTACCGCAGGAGGAGGAGCAGATGGCTACACTTGCCCCTCAAGCCTTCCCTGTTGTTCCTCCAATGGATTTTGCGGTAAAACAGATGATTATTGTCTAAGCAGCAATGGCTGCCAATCCCAATTTGGAAATTGTACAAGTCCAGTTGCTCTTACCGGAAGCAAAGTAGTGAGTACGGATGAGACATGTGGGATAATCGGGGCTGGGACTCAGGGATATAGCTGTCCGACCGGAGAATGTTGTTCCAACAAGTAAGAAACCATATAATATCCGCCATTGAGTTGGAGGAGTTGGTGTTAATAAATCTCCAGTGGATATTGTGGAACTACATCGGATTATTGCTCTGCTACTTCAGGTTGTCAATCAGCGTATGGAGTATGTAACAATGCTACAAACACCACTACATCAGCAAGTACAGCAGGTACCGGCACAGATAGTCTCTGTGGACCAGGCGTTGGTACTTGTGCATCCGACGAATGTTGTTCTCTTGCTGGATATTGTGGTACCACCGAAGGTACTTTCCCTCACTCACCACATACCCATACCCATACCCATCCTCTAACCACCCCCAGAATACTGTACCGCCCCCGACTGTCAATTTGACTACGGACCCGCCTGCGACGCCAACGCCATTCCCACCGGTGCAAACACTTCCACCATTGCCCGCCCAGCCCTCGGATCCGTTCTCTACGGCAGCGACGGTATCTACGACTGTGCCAAGCCCGGCGACATGGCTCTCACCTTCGACGACGGTCCTTACATCTACACCTCGCACATTCTCGATCTCCTAGCCCAATACAACGCCTCGGCAACGTTTTTCATCACCGGTAACAACAACGGTAAAGGACACATCGACAACACTTCGCTCGAATGGCCTGCACTCATCAAACGCATGTACGACAATGGACATCAAGTCGCATCGCACACATGGAGCCATCCCGATCTCTGCAACATCACCAGCGCACAGCGCAAAAACGAAATGTGGAAAAACGAAATGGCCTTGAGGAATGTAATTGGAGTTATCCCCACATACATGCGACCACCCTATTCAAGCTGCACCGCAGAATGCGGATGCGAAGCCGACATGGAAGAACTGGGATACCACATTACCTATTTCGTACGTCCTCCCTCCCCACCCCCTCCCTCTCACCCACCAACTAACTAACTAACCCCCCCTCCCCCCTCCAGTCCCTCGACACACAAGACTACCTCAACGACTCCCCCACTCTAATCCACAACGCGCAAACCATCTTCTCCAACCGCCTCAACGCCTCGAATCCCCGCACAGACCACCCTCTCGTCATCTCCCACGATATCCACAACCAGACGTCGCAGGTGCTCGTCGAGTATATGTTGAAGTCGGCCGTGGCGAAGGGCTATAGACCGGTGACCGTGGGGACATGTTTGGGCGATGAGAAGGCAAATTGGTATCGTACGGATACGGCGTCGACTTTGGGATAGGAGGGGAGGGGAGGGGAGATGAGATGAGAAAGAGATGGGAAAGGAGGGGTAGGGGAAGCGAGGGGAGGGTTGGAATTGAGTGTTTATTGTGTAATGATGTGATTGATGTAGGCGTGGGATTCTGGGATATCTACAAGTGCACGGAAGAGGGTTGAGTGGGAATTTAATCATAAGGATATTTATTACATGACAAGTTGTAAACAACACCTCACAGTCTCAACTCGCTTGCTTCATTTCTCTCTCCTTGATCCAACATAAATATCTTCTAGAAAAGCAATACATCTCAACCCCATCCCATCACACTACACGATCCCACACATTCACACAAATCACCCTGAGCCTCACAAGAAACTTCACTTCTGACACATAATAATATAAAGACTAAAATTCTCAATCAATCCTTTCTTTGCGTTCTATTATCTCGATCCATCCATCTTTCGAGGAATCAAATCCCCCCTATAAGTCTTCCCCTCTCCCTTCCGCCCAATACGATACAACGAAGAACAAACAATATGCGCCCCAGCTAAGACTCCCGCAATGCATCCTGCCATCCATCCATCCATCCATTTATGGCTAGTCCATAAGATAATCTTCCCTAAGAAACCATCAAAAGAAGCAAAGACAATTCTTCCTATCGACACGAATAGAAATCTGACGAAGTTTTCCTTTCTTATCCTCGCTACCTCATTTCTTTCTTCCCCTATTCCTTATTCCGAGTTGTAATACCGAGAAAAACATCTAATATCTCCCAACATTAGGCACGCCCTCTGGCTGGACTCCATTCTCTACCAGCTCTTTGTCCAACCCCTCAAGATCTTCATCGTCATCTTCTTCTTCCTCACTCTCCTCAACTTCCTCGCCATCCTCATCCTTGAACCCACTATCAATATCCAACTTCCTCAAACGTCTCCTCATTTCATCCCTCTCTCCATTTTGCCATCGAATCAAAGCTGCAGGCGCATGAACTTTAAATCCATAAATTCGTGGCACATATCGATCATAACTCTTCGCTGGGATCATAGCCGGATAAACCTGGAATAAAATATTGTGAAACGAGGTTCCGAAATATGCGCCATCAATTGCAGAATGTCGAGAGGATTTGGGGTTATAGATATCTTCACAACGAGAACAGTAAAGTTTGACGGCTTTGATGTTTGGATTGTCGCTTTGTCCCATGGGGAGAAGTGGATGTGATTTACACATAACTCGAGGACATTTTCCAAAGTCGGCTTTCTTGTATTTTTCAAGCTGAAAACAATTTTGATTAGCATTCCCTTCGTGATAAAGATCAAAATTACTCACCATTTTTGCCAATCCTCTAGTAGTGACGATATAACGAGCATGAACTAAACCATATAAATGTCTTGCTGACTTCTCAATAGTCTCTCTCATCTCATCATCACAATCCAAATCAAAGACATCCGTCACTAAATCCAACGCATACTGATAATATTGAACCTCTGTTTGAAGTCCTGTAAGGTTGAATCGATCGGTGAGATAATCTTCGTCGATTTCGCAAAAGTACTCATTACCGCGAGATGAAATGAACTAAAGGAGAAGAAAGTATTAGTAAATATAGTCTGCCAATATTTGTAAACTAATATGAAATATGGCTAAAGAACCCGTGGTGCGAATCCATGTTGCATGAACTCGGAGAGGGTGAGACTCGACCCGAGGGGACTGCGTGAATCAACATCCTGGCTGTATAGTGGAGGTGGTCCCGCTCGTACATTCGAGACCCAGACTTCCACTTGTTGGTTCGAAGGAGCTGGTAAAAGCTCATGAGGGCTCTCCATTGCTTTAGTATCTTCCGGAGAGCGGGGCCGATGTTTTGTTTTGCGTGCTGATTCCTCAAGACCCTCGACTTCTGAAGCTCGACGTTTCTTGCCTCTCCTGGATCTTTTGGCCCTCTTAGCCCGCCTGAGTGATAGAGTTGCTGAAGGGCCTGGTGATGGCGAAGATTGAGGAGTTTGATAAAACCGGTAGTCCAGACCAGTCGCAGGCGGACCATGTAACATTGTGCGTGGATATTGATTCCACCTTTCACAATGACCGGTGAGATAACAGTTTGAAATTGAAATCGCCAGGAATAATCTTTGAGACCGTAGTTTCCATTCACTTTTATCAAATGACTTCTCGGTTCCTTCTGTATCGATCGGCAATGTCTTTCTTCACATGGTCCCTTTCGCATAGCATAAACTTTTTCGTGGGTGGCTGTCGTCGATAGGAAAGCGCGACCTCCCGCCGTTCAGACAAATCGAAGCGCGCAAAATGGCCAGCAGGAAACGACACACAACCAGTCCCATCAAATTCCCCTAAAGCACCAAGAACTTCAAGCCAAAAGAATGAAATCACAACATACCCAATCTCTCCAATAACTGGTATAATCGCTGTCCGTTTCGCTGTTAAAATCCTCCATGATAAATGTCGCACTTGATGAATTCGCTCGTAATGAAATCGCTGGTGCGAAAGCTGTCTTGATCGTGACTCGAAAAGGATATCGCTCGGTTTAGAGTTACCTATAGCATGTGCTTGCTAGGTCGATATTTACGAAGGAAGGTGGAAAGGCTGAATGTCGTTGTCCTGCTTTAATTTGGTGGAGGGGCAGAAAAGCGGAAAGGAAAGTCGTGCACGGACCTTGCTTCTATCTACAAGAATCTGGAACGGTGAACCAGCCCCTTTATCACAATCAACATCTGGGAAGTAGAACATAATGTGTTACATGGAGTCATAGGTTCGAAAGAAACTAGAAGTTGGCTTATTGTAGTGTATGGTTAGATTTGCACATGTATCAATGGCAAGCATAATGGTTTGGAAACGAGATATCAAGAAAAAGAGCATTGACGCTTGCTTCTCCCTCTCCCTCACAGGAGGCCCGGGTAAGGAAAGAAGTCGTGATGTATTGGACTCGACTCAAGCAATTGAAGGGAAGTTTATATTCAAGCTTTCATATTCACAACATTATTTAGCTTCTTGACATTATGCTGGCTTTCTACTTTTCTCAAAATCGGCATTCCATCGCTCTATCCTCATTAGCATGAAGATTATGATATCTTATCGACTTCAATCATGTAGAAGTCTTCATGATGACACTCTCAAATCCCTTTATACCCGCCATATGCTCATTACAACATATCTCTTTATCCTATTGGGTATTTCTGTCCCTGTTCCTGTCCCTATTTCACCAGTATATCTAAATCTCATTCCCCTTCATCACATTATCCGGCAAGCAAATTACTCCCAAACAAGCCACGAAAGTACCCGCCCCAGCCAAAAACAAAGGTCCATTAAGGCTCATAGCCAACAACTTCGCTGCAATCAATGGGCTGAAGATAGAAAACAACCTTCCCCAACAACTAGCCATTCCACTAGCTGTTCCTCTTACCGATGCCGGAAACGCTTCTGGTGTCCAGCCATAGAGTACCGAGTTGAACATAGATTGAAAGAAATATTCCATGACGCTAAGTCCCACGTTCGCTGCTTGAGTATTGACTGCCGCGAAGAGAAAGAATGACGTAGCCATTAACGCAGATGAAAAGATCATGGAAATTCGTCTTCCTGTTCGAGATACTTTTACCATCAAAGCTCCTAAAGCTACACCTACGATACCCGGCGTGTAAATGATGACAAAGTTACGGTAAGTTGCGGAGTATCCAACTGCTTTTTCCAGACCCTTCCGTGCCAAAATTGTAGGAAGAAATGCACCTTTAAGGTGTTAGCATATTTTCGTGCAATTCAATAAAGTGTGAGAATGTATACCTGAGACAGAAAATCCCCAATAGTCAAATGCGTATATTATCCATACCAATATGGTAACTCGTGCCATTTGCTTTGTTTTGAATAAAACCCCAATCCTTTTGACTTCCCTTTTGATCTTTTGGCGCAAAGTTGGATCGCCAGGAACTTTTCCACCTTGAAGGCGAGCGTTGCCAGACGTAATGGAGATGGGAGACTGAATTTCATCCGGCTTATCCAAAGCCCTAAAATCCTCGATTGTAATGGTCAAAGTTTTTCCGTTCGTTTTTGCGATTTTTTCTAACACTCTGAAAGCGTCAACGTCCCTGTTCTTGCTGAGAAGATACTTGGGCGACTCTTGGAAGGTGAATATGAAGAATCGCATTAAAAACACAAGCAAGGATATCGAGCCCAGTGTATATAGGAGATATCTCCACCCCATGTTATCTTTCTTGGAACAACATTGAGCTCCTGGTGTCAGGTCATTTGCTTTGCATGATTTTAGGTCTGTCGCGCAGGAAAAATTGGGTATAAATCCGTAAGCTATGCCGCTGCAAACTACAACTCCAATCGGTTGGAAAATGGACAGGAGTGCCAACATAAAACGGGTTTTCTATGTTGAGTGTTAAATGTAGCTCCTCTAGCATGAAGTCGCGTGGGGGTCACCTGGGGAAGGAATTCCAGAGCAATTGTTGTGTCTATAGGAATATTTCCTCCAATGCCAAAGCCTGTAAAGGCAACTAACACAAGAAGACCATTGTAAGAACTGGGTATCGCCATGCAAATACCAAAGATAGAGGTAATGAAAACCGTGCCATTGAAAGCCCATTTGCGACCTGAAAGATGAAGTGAGTTATGAGAGGATGTAAAGTCATATTGGCTGGGAACTTACCAATGATATCTACCAAGACACCCCACACAAAAGCTCCCACAGTCAAACCAGCGTTGACCACTGTAAACATACGGCCCAATTGAGTATCTACATGATTTAGTCAGCACTACATTTAGTTGTACAAGAGCCCCCTCAACCAGTGCGACCTGTCTTATCTTTGACACAACACAGAGCCCATATCAAACTCAGCCCTTCAAATTCAGGGATTCATCCAATGAGAGACGTTACATACCAGAAATTCCCATCTCCCTCTGCATAACCGGTGCAATCAACCCGAATGCCTGCGCCCAGAGTAGATCCAAAAAGTATCCCAAGCCACATAAGGACCATATATACCACTGATATCTTCCCATGCCCATGAGATCAATTTCTCTTGCAACCAACAAGATCTTTTTGTCCTGTATCGACAAGTCATCGGAAATTGGATCGGCGGCCAATCCTTCGGCGTCAATCGATGTCTTCGAGACTGGCGAAATGCGACCGTCGCGTGAATTACCTGTTTTGTTCGATTAGCATATATTTAACTTATATAAATCAATCCAGATTGAAGAGGAAAAAAACTTCACACTTTGCCTTGATGGAGACGTAAAGCCTTTAACGTGTTTAGAATTTGCCACGCCATCCTCACTCTTCCCATCTGTCATGTTTGAGGAATCCATGTTTAAGAGCGGAACTGTACTTTCACTTTCGTTCTCTGAAGTAGCACACACTGCCTTCCCTTTATTCTGAAGAAAAGTATCTTCACTGTTCCAAGAAAAATAAGTGCGCATGGCATATGAGTTATGTATGTATGTGCTGGGTTAGTAAGGTCAGTTGATTCACCGGGATGGAAGGTCAAACAATGCGATGATATCAAGATCCATATCTAACTTCGCACTTGCTTAGCGGGAACATTTTAGCCTGATTAGCTTGAGGTTTGTCAATTGGACAAAAGCAAACCACCAGCAGTGAGTGTTACCCGTGTAGTGAATTGTTGCGACTTATGAGATAGAGGATCGTCTCGATAGCAAGCGTCACTACAACGTAAACTCACCTACGCCGGATGACACTAAGCCCGATAGAGAATAGAATCTGGGTCGTTTATTGGGTGAAATTGGGGATTAAAGCTTTCTTGCGAAATCCTGCACCTGGGGGGAGGAGAGAAGAGACAACCTTGATTCCGAAAGGTTAGTGTCGTCCGTTGTGTATGAGTTGATGTGGTCTCGAGACAGTAAGACGACGAAGATAAGAAGAGAATGGCGAATTTGATTGATGCGTTCATGCATACTTAGCTACCTACCTAGCTAGCTACGTAGGTACCTAGGTAGGTAGGCAAACAATGAAGTGAACACAACTTTAAGTTGTGACAGGAAACTGTGCCCAAGACACCGTGCCAACAATTTTGACTCTCTGATAGCCCTAATATAGTATGCGACCTGTTCCTGCCCTAAATTCAAAGGGAAATAGTTAAATTCACTTAATCCACTTGGACTCTCGGAACGAAGCGATCTCATAATGGCAATTGAAAATAAGGAATGCTATTTACTAGCAACTTCCAAAATTCCAATCGTAAGCCGGGGCAAAGCGGGGAAAATCTAGAGGCAAAAGATCACCATCGTCCAAGGTCGATCTGGACTAGAACCTCCGATGCAAAGAGATGTTTCTATGCGTTTCGCCGAGTAGCTATCAAGTGGTAATGTAATACCAACGGATTGATTCCAGTTGTCGGGACAGTTGATAAACATACTAGGTAATTCCTTATGTGTTGACGCATCAGCCGACTTTGAGTTCTTCGGCTGCTGACAAGGTACAGTGGGGATGGAGATCTGTATGGAGATCCATCTATCTTATCAGTTGATATCAACATACAAACTCATCGTACCTGCACCAAGCTCGAGACCAAGATAGCTTGAGTGAATTCTCAAGTTCGCTTCAGCCCCTATGAATGTCCACGGGTATTATAGATACAGGCAATTCAATCATACACTGGGCACTTTAGTTCTTTCATATTTATTTTTATAATTTTAATGTTTATTGTTGCGCCTAGAATATATTTACAAAAGCTATCTCATGTAATCAACACAAGAAATAATACCCTTTTTCTGCTTCCACAACTCATGACAGCAATAGAGCGAAACTGCCAATAATTTTCTGCTATATGCTTGTAGCCAGAATGTTTGCTGCAAGACGTGAAGCAATTTGCGAAGACGATATCAGATTCCCAGACGCCAATACTGTAAGATCCATTTGCGTACAGACCCAAACGCCAATTTATGTTAAAAAAAAGAGTATGCACCAAACCAAAGACAACAAACAAGAAAGATATCACTCAACGCCTCGAGAAGCATCGACATAAACCAAAGTCGAACCATTATAGACCAGGATAGTGTGTGGTATATTGGTAGTCGAATCCATAAGATCATCCGTCGTAAGTACCATTTCGTATCCCAACCAATTAAAATGCAAAGGGTGTATCCAGGGAAGAGCACGATGAAGGTAGTAAATATGATTAAGTATCATATGTTCTATGAAGATTCTAAAGGTTGGGTAACATCAATACCATAAAGGGAGGCATGTTTCTTGGCCCATGATCTGGTAAGGATTGAAGCTGGTGGAATGTTAGTCGCAGTCAGGATATTTGGTTTTTCCATACGGAATTACATACCTTTCAAAAATTTCTTGCTAGCATACTTCTTGAAGAATGCTTCGTGAGTAACAGGACGAGCAAGGTAATCAACCATCAATTGGAAGACAGGCTCAATCTCATCCTCGCTGTAACCAGAGTAGTGAGTCAACATTGGGTCCCATTCACCCTTCTCGAGAATAAGGCGGGCGAGATACATGGATGCAGCAGCGACGTGACTTGGGAGGTACTTCATGAATCGATGATCAAGGAGACTGATCTCCATCAAGTACTTGCCCAAAGTGCGGGTCTGGATATCGTAGTCATCTGCTTTGGAGATACGTCTCAAGAAGTTCATTGGGTTAGGATAGCTCAAGTCATAGTTGAGAGCACTAAGAACGTAACGCTCGGCACTAAGGATCTCTGCTTCGGTAAACCCATCATCGGCGACGTGACGGAAGTTGGCGACGTGAGGTGAGAGGACTTCTTCGTACTTCGAAGCAATGAACATTGCAGTGACACCAACGAGCTGAAGACGATCAAGTTGAACAACTTTGGTGGAAAGGAAGCGGTCGATGATGTTGACGGCAAGGAACAAGGTTTCAGGGAGGAGGTGGAAACGTGTGTGAACTTCAATGAGCCAGTCGACGAGAATGCCACGCATCTTCCACTCCAGATCTTCTTGATGTGCCATGTACTTTTCATTGGGCTTGGTAGCAATCTCCAACTTCTTCAAGTACTCGAAAATTTCAACGACATACTCAGCCACCATCAAAGGGTCATCGGTATCTTCAGCATCCAAGTCGCGTACACCTTCGGCAAACTCAAGTCTGACAGATTCCTTTGGCTCTGGCTCAACGACAGCCTCTGCCTCCACCTCATTCTCTTTTTCCTCGGTGACAACTTTAGTTTGCTTTTCTGGTTCAATGTGGACCTTCTTTCGGGATGGTTGTTCGTCTTCAACGGGTGCTTCTTCCTTTACCGCAGCAGCTATCGAAGCAGCAGTGGTCTTTCTCTTCATCACTCCAGATCCAGCAGCCTTGCTCAACGACTTCTTGTTTGTATCCTTAGCTCCGAGGGCTGATCGTGTACTATTCTTGGTGACGCCAGTTGGTTGTGAAGCTTTCGAGACTAATCCACTCTTAGCAGCAGGCTTCTTTGCCTCGACTGCATCTCCTCCCTTGGCAACATTGCTAACATCTCCCAAGGCTGCCCGCTTTCGGGCTGGTTGTGCATTGATAGTTGATTTCTTGGTTGCAAGTGGCTTCTTGACGGCACCGGTAACTTCCTCCGTAGTAAATGCTGCAGATTTAGATCTAGTAAGACGGGTTGTGACACCAGCTACGTTCTCATCGTTCTCATTTGTAGGAGCCCTACGACTAGTTGCTCGACTCTATATGCATACATGATTAGCATTAACCAATTGGAGGGTCAATTGAACAGATGCGTAGATCTGGAATCAAACCATGTGGTCTCTGGGGTACATACGACTGGCATATTTGACGATGTGTTGTTGTATTAACTATTATGTGTGGAGTGTTGTGGAGAGGATGATGGTGGGTCGCTAAAAAAAGATGGTCAGCAAAACGCGGTATAGATGTTGGAAAGCGCGTGGTGAATGTTGAAGACGACGACATCAAGACGCGAAATCTCGACGACATCAAGATGTGGGAGGTTAAGGGGATACATACGTGAAGATGTATTAGACCTTCAATAGAACCCGACGTGTAATTGACGATATGAAGAATGGGGTGGTGATATATCGACTTTGTTGACAGATGAAGAATTGAACTCGTTTTTTTGGGGAATTGTACACGAAACTGAAGAAGTTGAACGACTGAACAAACAAGATACCGAAAAGGATTTAAAGCTGGCAAATACCTAAGAGGTTATCAAGGACATGAAGAGGTCGGAGGACGAAGGTCGAGTGTCGAATGTATTGTTTATTTGGGTAGGAAGTGTTGATGTTTATGGGTGGATGTGGATGTGGATGGAGTGAATGAAGTTAAATGTGTGCGAGTGAGAGGGAAGACTTTCTAAAGAGGATGTCAGAGCTCTTCCAAGGTTGCCAGGCACTCGCTTGTTATGGGTGGGTATTGGATATCTTAGCGTGTTCGTGCTTCCTTTGCGGATTCTTTTCTTCGCTGGTACAGTAACAAGGATTTTGGAAGAACGAATGGGTTTGAGAAGGAGGTAAGGGCAGAGCAGGGCGAAAGGGAGAGTAGATATGGACGATTGAAATGGTTTCAAATTTGATTGAATAAATAAGTAACGTGATTTTATTACGACCGAAATTGACCAAGAGACGTCTTGATTATATAATTTACTACTGTGTATTCGGTATTTACTGTAAATACTATCATCCAGTTTACCTACAAATTATAGATTTTTGGTCGGTCACAACAACATCATATAGAGATCCACAATTGACACAACTTTACTCGAATTGAAACTTTGAGAGCAAGTTAAACGCCAAAGCTTTTGTTGATTTGCGTTTTCTCCTAGGCAACCACCACGCAACATGTATCCATTTCGATTTCGGGTGGCTTGGGACCGTGTTTCCCGTCTTGAGAGTGTGGCTAGAGTGTGATGTGGCTGGTGACGAAGTCGCACCTAAGAAAATGTCTACCTACCTAGTTGTAGAGGTACATATTTCCAGCTGGATGAATCTGAATTGGCTTGATATTGGGTCGATTCATATCAGATATTGACTTCTCGACGTATAATCTATCATCGTATAAATTTATATCTTGGGTAAGTGTCAAACACCTTTCATGCTTCTACTCTCATCCAATCCTCACTTCAATTTTCTTATCTCATGTCATAATTGAAATTTTTACTTCTCAACTCTGCAACTTATCACCACATCCAATACTCAAACTAAACTTAATCGGGAGATAGCCTTTCCGGAAGAAGTTTGAGATACGTTCAAGCACGAACGACGTCGACCTTCAAAACTCCCAACCACTGTTTCTGGAGGCTCTCGCCGTGGCGAGAAGATCAATCGAATTGTGGTGATCAATTCGATATACAAGATACACCATGTTTCAACCCAGGATACTTGCGCGACAATGTCCAAGGGCAACATGCAATTCTCTACCCATACTTCGAGCCTTCCCTCGCACATACGCAACGGTCGTCGAACCGGTGCAAGCCGAAGTACCTGCAGCACAAGCTGTAACAGCAGGCTTTGCACCTCCTGTATCTTCCTCAGATAGCAGCAGTGCTACTTTTGCTATGCGAACATACAAACCAAGAACGCCTGGTGTCAGACATTTAAAGAGACCTATAAACGATCATCTATGGAAAGGAAGACCATTTTTACCCTTGACTTTCGCAAAGAAGGGGCATGGAAAGGGTGGAAGAAATAATAGTGGTCGAGTCACAGTTAGACACCGAGGTGGTGGTCACAAGAGGAGAATTCGTACTGTCGACTTTCATCGAATGACACCGGGTGTACACACAGTGGAACGTATTGAGCACGATCCAGGAAGGAGTGCACATATTGCCTTACTGAATGAGGAAGCTACTGGTAGGAAGAGTTATATCGTTGCCGCAGAGGGCATGAGAGCTGGAGATAAAGTACAGAGTTATCGAGCCGGTATCCCAAGAGATTTATTGGAGAGTATGGGAGGATTCATAGACCCGGGTGTGTTGGCTGCAAAGACTGCTTGGAGAGGAAACTGTTTACCTTTACACATGATTCCTATTGGTACAACTGTCTACAATGTTGGTTCTGCAAAAGGAAGGGGTGCTGTCTTCTGTAGAAGTGCAGGAACACATGCGGTTGTGGTGTCTAAAGATGATGAGGCATCTAACAACGACAAGGGACCAAGATTTGTCACTGTGCGATTGCAGAGTGGCGAGGTGAGAAAGGTTAGTATGCATGCATGTGCAACGGTAGGCATTGCTAGTAACCCTCATCATCAACATCGACAACTTGGTAAAGCAGGTCGTTCAAGATGGTTGAACATTAGACCAACAGTCAGAGGTCTTGCTATGAACGCTGGTACGTATTCTACTCCAATCACCGTATAAGCATGATTACTCACAATATGAATAGCCGACCATCCACACGGAGGAGGAAGAGGTAAATCGAAGGGTAACGTCGACCCAGTCAGTCCGTGGGGCATGCCGGTATGTATACTATCCTCAAACTCTGAGGATACCCACTGACATTACTTCACTTATAGGCCAAAGGAGGATACAAAACTAGAAAGGTTCGCAAGCCCAATAAGTGGGTTGTCACTCCACGTGAAAGAAATCACGGAAAGAGAAGAACAAAGTAGAGGTTCAATTATCATGATATACCTTGCATTGGAGCTTTATATGTAGGCTGTAAACTTTCCGTCTTGTATACAGACGCATTCTTTATACATCCTGTACAATATCAAATGCCAAATAAAGATGTGCCTTTTGACAACCCAAATGCTTGATGTGCTGCCTTGCGTGTCCATGTTCATAGTTAGCGATGATCGCTTATCCATAGTCGCAAGTAGAGGTATTACACAGTACCTTCTTCAGAATATCCCACGGTCTGATTTGACAGACTGGATGGTATTTCTTAGCTTTCAACATTCAAAAACAGTTCAACATTCGCAACCAATTCAGTCCTTTAAACCAATTGCAAGCATTCGAACAAACCACCCTCCACCACAGCCCTCTCAGATTCCTCTCTATCCCCTCCCCTCCACCAAACCCCCCACGGCCCGCAATCCCGATCCGTACTCGCCAATCCCATCTCATCTCATCCCACCCACGACCTCCCGATCACCGAGTCAACACACTCATCAACACAATCATCAACACAATCATCAACACAATCATCAACACAATCATCAACACAATCATCAATACAATCATCAACACACTCAATACGAAAGAAATCCATCACAACAAATCCCATACCATACGATACCTAGCACAAGATAACAATCTATCTATACTATTCGTACTACGATATCTTAAACTAGGTAAACCGAAGTATAAATCATCAAATAGACGTCACACAATCCTCACCCCCTCTTCCCCTCTTCCCTAGAACAGATTCTTGCATAGAGCTAGAGTGTCGCGTATATCTACCTGCCTATCTACATTATTTACTAACATACGAGTAGATACCTAGTCTAGTATGCACGCACTATCTCGAATACCCCTCTATTGATTATCGTGTAGCTTCTCTAGTTCATCTTCTCTTGGATTTGCTCGCCGAGCATACTCGTACTTCTTTCTGTATGATTCTTATCTACTACTCGTATACCTATTCTATTCTATTACCCACCCTCTCCATTCACGCCGGTCTTCACACTCGAGTAGTATGCGTAACCTCCCATGCGAAGAATACAACACAGCACAACACGGCACAACATAACATGACATAACATAACATAACCCCGCATCTACAAACACCCCCATCTCCTCTAATACAAAACCCCTCCATCCATCCCATCATTCCAATCTCAAGTAAACAAGCAAGTCACCACAACAAACCCCGAAATCTCATCACCTAGGAGATTGCTAATATACCCCCACGAAAGCCTGCTCTACAAATATCTACGAGGGCATGTTTTTAATAAATGCCGAGTCCATATACAAATACTTTTTTATATCAAAATTTACCCAAACTCACTCATTTTAAAATTCAATATTAAATCAATCAATATTATTATATATTTAGAATTTTATAAAAATAATAAATTTTTATTTAAAATTTAATAATATAGGTTTAATTTTTTTATTGAAGTTTTCAATTAAATTAAAATTTTTATTGAATTTTTATACTTAAAATCTTTATAAAAAATAATATTTATTTTAAGAATCAAATTTCTATATAGGATTTTATTATTAATTCAATTTAAAAATTAATAAATCTAATATCAAATTAATTATTAATCAATTTTCTTTATATAATTCAAATTTTATAGTTTTATAATGAATATTTGAATTATAATTCATTTATAAATATATAAAATAAAATATAGTTTTGGTAAGGAAATTCGTTTAAATTTCAGTCCGGTATTTATCAAAGACATGCCCTCGTAATGTATTATTAAGATGATTATACACCTGATCAGGTACATACCTACCTTACATACCTACCTATCTATACCCAGAACCACCCACCCACGCAGAAGAATACCTACCTACCCTACCTAGTACCTAGTTCGTAGTTAAAACCAAAAATCCCAAGTCCATCCAAACGTTCATTCCACCCACAGTAAATGAACGTTCCGTGCTCAACAATCGAACTGGGTTCCAATACCTAGGTATCTTGATAATCTCAAATATCTCGAATGCTCGAAATGAATCTCATATTCTATGAGTCCTGTATACTTTAAAAAGTGAGTGAGTTGACTGCATCGAAGCAACTCAATGTTGGACTACGGATGAGAATCCTTCCGTCATTCATCACCATTCAACCAACCATCAGTCAGCTTTGCACTATGCTCATACGTTTATGATACAATGTAGTCAGGGCTAGCAAGCACATGGGACATTGAAACCGGGAGTTTTTGGATGAATTTTGGATGTCCATCTTGAAGTATTGAAATCAAACTATTACATCATATATCATACAATTCCTCCCATCAAGTATATAGGTACATCCATCCCGTATACTCTACGATATCACCTGCAGCCTGATTCTGCCCTTGACCCAAGAAGAGGTTTTTATAACGAAGCCGATATGATATTCCAACGCCAATGTCAATCCAAGCTAAATATTGCTTTCCTCGATTTTCCCCTGAACCATATTTGTATCCATAGCTAATTCAAAACACATAATATCATATCGCATTATCCGAGCAAACCAAACCTGGACCCAAAACCCATCACTTTATCAATATTATAAACTCAGTAACTCAATGACCCCCCTCCCATATGTCCATTGGATCCATGGGTCCCAACTCCATCAGATGTCTAAATACCCCCTCCCCAACCGGCGTCAGCCCCGTTGTAGTCTGCTGCGGCCATGGACCCGGAGTTGTATATGTTCTTCCAGGCGTTTCTGGCATACTATATGCTGACGATGATATATTCGACCCAGCTGGAATATTATTATATCCCGGAGGTGTCGAGAAAAAGGCATCCATGAGACGAACATCGCGATCCGCATCTGGTGCTGGACGAGTTCCATAGGATCCAGTGTTCGTAGTAGTCTGCCCATGTTGTACATTAGAAGGTCGGACGTCAGACGCGGATTTCAGTGTTGGATTGTTGGAAGTATTGCCAGTATTGGAAGATAGACCTGTTCTCGTGCCGGGACTTGTACTATCGTGGTTGTATGTATTGCCGTTTGGTGCTTTGCTTTGACTAACAGGTACGCCTTGCCTCAGATCTCGAGCTTGTGAGAGTTCGTTCAGCCTAGGCCAGCCTCTCTGTTCCACGTCGAAGCTTCGAGGAAATGGATCAACTCCAGGGCTTGTTGACGCTCTCCTGATTCTTTTTTTGGTATCGGCAGAAATACTGCGTGATGTTTCCTGAGGGTTAGTAGGACTTTCGCCTACCACTCGGAAGTCATCTGGACCTCCTCCATCTATGAATCGCACAATGTTACACCCAGTTTGATCATTTGGTCCAATGACAGTTGTACCCATTCCGGGTATCCCAGTCTCTTTGGATCCCAGCTAGATGCATTAGCTTTACGAATATCGAAAGGCGTTGATCTGACATACCAAAGTCTCGTTCCAGGGACCGTCTTTGAATTTATTATTATTACGCAATCCCATGGCCTCCAAATCAACGTCCAATTGTACAAGAAAGGACTCTGTCAAAGGATTTTTCTTCTTTAAAGCATTCATGGCTTTCAAGAGAAATCTTAGGGAATCTGAAACTGGAGAATCTTTTGGTGTATCGTCGAGATGTTTAACAAAGACGCGTGCGGCTACGTAGAGACAAAAAGATATGAATGGATTCATCTATAAATGGGTTAGTAAGACTTTAATATATGTGTATATGTTTCCGCGACGCCCTCACAGTTGATAAATCCATATGCGAGATCATCTGCATAATTCTCGTGATCTCATTAGCAGCACTAATGGCTCTGATTTTGCTTTCGGCGGTGACAGTATCAGGTAATCGATTATTTTGAGCTTTGAATATTGCTGCTTGATGTAGGCAGATGGTGGAAGCGTGAATATTCATGTTTAAAAATACACTATTAGGATTGGCCATCCCGTGAGGCAATCGAAGGTGAAAAGGTAGAGAAAGGGATGTATTTAGGAGAATGTTGTCCATGTGTCGGTGTCGCCTCCAAAATTCCCCATTTAAATCGTTGTCACGATAATCAGGATCAGAACGATGTAGATGTAGGAGATTTCTTCCAAAGAGTGAGGCCATCAAAACAACACCAGCGAATGGCGACAACTTAGAGGCGCCCTGGGGACTCATTGAATCAGTCAGAGTTTGCGTTCTTTCTGGCTTACTCAGGTTAAAAGCGTCCTCTGAAGATGGTAGGTCCGATGTGATGTCCTTTTCATCAATAGTCATAGGCCATCCAGTACCGACACTAGCATATCGATCTTCGCAAAAAGCCATCCAGAAAGTTCTACGCCTTTCTTCTCTTTCTGTCCAATCTCGCGGTGGTGGGAGACACTGCTTGACTTCTAAGCCAGGCTTATCAAGTCTATGTAGACCCATCCTTGAGTCAATTAGCGGACAAGCTCCGCATAAGCTCTAGCCTCTGGGTACTCACATTTGACATAATCTAATGGCAGCTCCAGTGCTCATCCAAGCTCGAGGGAAGTGCATCATTCTAAATTCGTAAGAAGCTAAAAGAATATGGACCTGTGCATGCGAGACAGAAATTATGCTTTCTCCAAATCCTTTCAACGTATCCATTTCCATGTATTTTCGGGCTCGCTGATAGAAGTGGTCTTTAAGATTCATGTATTTTTCTGAACTAGAAGCTGCCAGTGTCCACATTGCATATCGTAATGAAACTGGGGGTCGTTGATTTGGCGCACTATGAGATGCCTGTTAGATGGAAAAATGTTTAATTTTGTGACAAGAAAATTGCCTACAGATTCATGGCAGCAAGGTACCGGTATTTGTGGATCATTGGGAGTGAAGGGTGAATATTATCGAAGTAGATTTCATGCCTAGACGATGTAAGCTCATGTGTAGAATAGCCCTTGGAAAAACATACAACTCGTCAATTACCTCTTGGAGGGGCAACGGTTCCTCAATCCCAAGACCAATCATCTCCCACGTAGATGGAAAGTCATCGAGCCCCATTCCCATACCGATAGTGGCCGAGAATCCCATGTCATTCAACGTTGGTTGAGCTTCATTGTTATAGCGCCACCGCTCGCCGTCTACTCCAATATTCGGACTTGGAACGTTGAGATCTGGGGTAGGGGCGGTCCGCAATCCAGTCCCGCTGGCATTGCTTGTACTTGGACTCGTAGTTGTAGTCGTAGGTTCTTGCGATTTGAGCATATTCTCGACTTGTTCTGATAGTATGAGGTATTAGCCCGTACCTAAGGACTATTGAGGCATCAAATGCCCTTTTGGGATCCTGACGCCTAGAGACTTACTCAATCTTTCTTCCAATGCTTTCACATAGCCACGTTTTGGGCCAGACTTTCTTCGCACAGGATCATAAGCACAATCATGTCCCAATCGCGTACACGTTGAACAACTTGGTTTTGAACCATCGCATTTAAGTTTTCTTTTCCGACATATAATACATGCAATTCTCTTCGGTTTTGGAATTGTCGAGTCTCCTCCATTTCCATCGACTCCACCCGCCATATTGCCCGTATCTCTCAGACCACTGTTTGGTCTTAAATTGGTTGTTTGTTGCGGAGGGTCATTGAAGAAGTCCTCGCGGGGTATATTCGAATTCGATGACATTTCACATTGAAGGATGATTCAAACTTTGGAAGAATGGGTTCCCTCCGTATCCAATGCAACCGATCATTGACGTTCAGTAAGCTTGCAGGGTGCGGTGTCGTCAGAACTTGTTATCGCAACGAAATCGTGCCGGAGTGATCTAAATAAAGATGACTGCAAAGATAATTATTGATTGGACTGACCAGGCTATGTTGCAATGTTACAAATGATTGTCAATGAATGGTATATATGATAATGAAAAACATACAATGAACAAAAGCTGCGCTGCTGTGCTTTTCGATAAGAAATTAAAGAAGGGGTGGAGTTAAGATATCGAGATTCGGAAGGAACACTAGAACTTTATCAATCAAGCCTCTTCTAATGCCTGTAAAAATGTCTGGGTACGGGGTAAATATGTGTGTGTCTATTGCCTACCAGATAGTCAGGAGTGCTTGAAATCGTATCACAATACCTACCTAGGTACTCGTAGTTATTGTGATTCTTCATTGAAATGTCATCAATACTACCTATAAGTGGTGATGAGGGTCTATACATCCGTATCACGACTACCTACCCATAAGGTTTGGGGTCCATAAAAGTGAGGCTATTCCACTACCCGTGGACTCCGTAATAAAGGTGGAACCATGAATGGGAAATGAACCAGGGGAATCATTGCTGACTGTACGAGGCCTACAAGTTCCTGGCAACACACAAGACAAGATATCAGAACATCATTGCTTTGCAACAATACAAAATTAATTAGCAACGTTCCGTAACAGTTAACCCTAACACGTTACTCAAGGCATCAGCATTAAAGTCGTTTTCACTCGTAAGCTTAAATAGAGCCATGTTCGTGAACCCTCCTCCCCTCCCCCCTTTCACAACACCATCGATATCTTTAGCAAGAGATGCATATGCATGGCAGACACGCTGCTGCTCGGGTATACATCAGCCTTGTGAAACAACCGGATCCAATTAAGCTCGAGAGACAAAGGAGACCCTAGTAGTAATACGGCTGGATATTGCCCCGACTCACCAAGTCATGCAATACATTCTTCAAAGTTCATATTTGGGTGACTAAAATGACGTGCAAATGATCCAACAGGCTGGAGCTAAAACGCACGGAGGTATATGGATCTTGGGTCTTTGCTCTTTGCTAGTAAACTGTATTTGGACAACATCGCCTCGAATTGCCATATATATCTTCCTAGTTATTTGATATACAAGCTAGTGCCTCGGTAATCGACGAGCAAGACATTTCATATACATCTTCATCCGCATCGTGATGATCACCCGTCGCTTCTGTTGTGAGGACAACTTACGGTGGCTTTGAGATCGAATTTCTTGTCGTTGGTGCCTTCCGGAGCATCAATAACGCTTCTCAACCCCTTGCAGAAAGCTTACAAGCTGGCTTCAAGACCACAGAGATACAGGCCCTTTACTTTCTTTCTAAGTCGACTCCAACGATCTTCAAGCCGCCGTTTTCCACATATGCTAGAGTATATTTGTTGGGATGCCAGGCCACAACAGGACAAGGGCTGCCTTTGACGGTGTACACATGCTCTCCAGTCTCCGTATGAGCAATTTCCAATCCTGTGCCTTCATCGCTGCCCCCGACAATGTAGCTTCCATCAAAGCTGAAACTTATGCTTCTGATAGGGCCCACCATATCAATCAAAGTACGTTGACATATCCAATCAGTTGTGTCCCAGAGTGCAATGATGGAATCCGAACCTCCACTGGCCAAGAACCTAGCTGTTGGCTGCATCTCCACGGAAAGACACGAGGATGTATGCCCATTCAAAGTGAAGGGCTGTGAAGCCTCGAAACTCATGTTAAAGATAGGTTTGAAGTCAGGATAGGATAAAATCTTTATACGACCCTCTCCTGTTGTAAGAAATATTTTGTCACCGCTCCAGCAGAAAGCAATTTGGTTTGTTTGCACTGGTTGCTGATGTGAAGCAAGAGGGGTTGATTGTGTTGGGGAAAGTATGTAGATATTATCAGACTATTGATTGATTAGCTCTCGTCTTAAATGTGCAACGGTAAATTAAGTTCTTTGGAATAGATTCAGGCAACAGTTTCACACAGAATACCCGATAAGTCGGACTAGCAGACAAAATATGGCTTTTAAATTTTGAGAAAAATCCATAACTGAGAAAAGTTGCAGAGTCAGGAGGCAATGTAATATCCAGAATGAGCTATTTCAATTTGAATATTTCGAATGCCCCAATTGGACTCGGAACTCGAAAACTTTTCATCATGAGACTGCTGTCCAAACTATTGGATGCCTTCTTATTCACAGAGAGAGACATATATATATATATCGGTACTAGAATACGTACCTTGTTACCAACAATCAGACTCTCGCCGTTCGGGTGCCAGACTAATGTGAATGCGTCGCCCAATCCTTTGACTTCGTTGATCACAGCTTTAGTTCTGACGTCCCAAAATTTAACAACACCATCGCTGCTTACACTGGCAAGTTCAGCATCTTTTACAGGATTGAATGCCACCTTTTCGATTCCAGCAGTATGGCCGACAAGTTGAGTAGAGTAGTTCACTGAAGGTCTCTCGGGATTCCATACCCTCAGTGTTTTATCTGCAGCCCCAGTTGCGATCAGCGAGCCCAGAGGGTTCCATGAGATTGTCCTTAAACTGTACAAAGAGTCAGTGAAATGAATACATAGAACCAGTTGGGCGAGTAAAACGCTTCAGAATCACGTGATACCACAATAATCCCATAGAAGAATTGATGGTCATCTGGATGATTGAAGGGCATACCTATGAGAGCCAGAGCCTCTTGTACTAGGGTCGTTATAAGTTTGGGTCTTTAAAGAGCCAAAATATCCGGAGAACTTCTCCTTTGAGAGACTCTGTCGATGGCGGAGGGGTGCCATGTTTTTTTATGTATTCAAGATGTCTGTAGATGCTGAGAATGATATGTATTATATGATTTTTGAAGACTAGTAGGTATCCCAATTAACAGAGGATATTGAGCAGTATTGTCATGAAAGCTTTGAAAACTTTGAGGTCATGGCTATTGTGCCTGTGCTTATTGTGTTTTATACAATACAATGATATTCGTATGGATGGAGAACAAGTCGAGAGCTCACCCTCCGGGTATTGCCGAAAATTAGCCGCGAATTCATTGAAGACAACCCTGTGTGATCATGAGCTTGTGATTATTCACCCAGTATTCAGAACACAACGAAGAGCAGCTTGCTCAAATTATACGCCAATAACTTCCGCGGACATGCGATGATGTGGATGAAAATTCCAGTGGCATTGGACAGCCATGTACTGGCCGATTGGAGCGCCTCGAATATACGCAGCAAGCAGCAGCGCCGCATCTAAAGATCATATTATTCAGACGGACGATGACGCGGAGTCTCGGGAACCTACAGAAGGCAGCGGATCTCTGCTAAATGTGCCGAACGATGAAACCGAGGAGAATGCTGATGATGATCAAGAGTTTACTTCTGGTTTATCGACCCCCATAACACCTATCACACCGGGTATAAAGCCAGTCGAACACGACACTCACACTCGACCTTCGAACAGATCATCCCTTACCGATGCATCTTATTTCCCTAGTAGTCGACCAGAAAACGATCCGCTGCTGGCATTGAGAATATCCCGAAGTGGCCATCTTTTCGCGGCTATAACATCCACCACCCTTACAATATGGCAGACAAAGGTATTTGCATTCCGAAATCTTCAAAGCTTGGAGCCGAGTTTTGCTAACTTATTCACATAGCCTACTGCCATATTGGCCGTTGTGGTTCGATCCCATAAATCTCTTGCTACATACGGATCGAATATTTCCCTTCTTCTCAGACCCGATTCCATGATATTCGTCGTTCAGACAACAAATGGGTTTCTAATAACTTACACTTTAGCCACTGATCCCGAATCCAGAGTCTTCAAGCCACACTTTGACAGTCACACAAATCGCAGACAAAGTAATTTCAGTGGTCATAGGAGCCAGGGTGGAGATAGAATTCTTTGGGGGCCAGGGGAAGGAGGTGGTGTCAGAGACGTGAGCGTAAAGTTTCGTATGGTCATCAAGGTTGATGCAGGTATCGGCAATGCTTTAGCATTAGATGATGAATTAGTCGTCGCAACAAAGAAGCCAGGGGCAGTACAGTGTATCAGATGGACTCCAGACAGTACAGGCAACCAAACAAGCACAGAAATTTTTAGCCGGATGGAATGGATAGCCAAGAAAGCCAGTGTAACCGAAATGGTGTATGATAGACCGATGAATTTGTCTACTTGGATCACTAGTGATGGTCGGGCGTATGCAGTGCAGCGTCATACCCGGCACAAAGATTCAGACGGGCACCGGAAATTGTTCAGAGGCTATTGCTTTCATATACCTACAAGTGAAGACAACAATGCAATCAGATCAGCTATCAATGCCAGGTTCTCCCTAATCGCCGTTGGTTGTAATGATGGAACCATACAAGTCTTCACCGCTAAGGATTATGTCGGCAATGTACCGCCTTCACACACTCATCGTCTGTCAGTTTCCCGACAATCCTCTGGTCAATTGACTTGTCTCAGCTATTCTCCCGACGGATATAGCCTTTTCGCAGGATATGAAAACGGTTGGGCAATGTGGAGTGTGTTTGGCAAACCAGGAGCAAATAGTTTTGGATCAGACAGAAGGATATGCGAAGAAAACAATGAAGGCTGGCTGGTTGGTGTTAAAGAGGCTGTATGGGTTGGTGGCGGGACCGAGATCCTTCTGATTAGCCAGCGAGACAATCGACTCTGGACTTTAGAGATGGCGCGTAGTGCTATTACTGGATGCTATGCCTCTGCAAATATATCTCGCACTTTACTCCAAACTACCTCGAATATAATGGTTTATCGAGGTTATGATATGCCTGACCTTACCACTATATCGGCAGAATCGTCTTTGTGGCACAATGCTCAGATACCTTCCAGTTATCTTGTGGATCAATGGCCCATTCGTTGTTCTGTCATATCGTCGGATGGCAGATACGTCGCAG